CCGGAAGCGGGGCGGCACTGCGGCGCATGCGCAAAGAGCAGCCACGACGCCGACACCGCCCGGCCTCTGCCGCCCCACCTGCTTCTCCTCCAATGGGCTCCGTCCCTCTGGCTCTGCGCCAATCGGCTCTTCCCCGCTCGGCTCAGGTCCCACCCCCGCGACTTGCGCTCCTCCAATCCTCGCCTTTCCTGTTTAGGGCCTCTCATCGGGTTAGCCTCCAATCGCCATCGCGGCTCGTGCCGCAAGCCCCGCCCCGGCGCCGGCTCTCCACCAATCCGGCGAGCCCGACTCCTGGCGTTGCCATGGCAACGTGGCCTGGCATGGGACGACGGGCCCTAGGGCGCCCCCAGCAGCGCGGTGTCGCCATGGCAACGGGCACCCTAGGTGCCGGGTGACACCTGCACGTCACCTCACCGGGTGACAGGGTGTCACTGTGACGGGTCGCAATTGTGCTGGGTGACAGGGTACAGTCATACAAGGTGACCAGGCGTCCTGACACAGGGACAGCCCAGTCGCGCAGGGTGACCCAGCAGCCTGAGGGGTGACAGCCCAGCCCTGTGGGTGACCCAACACCCTGACATGGCAACAGCTCTGTGCAGTCCTACAGGGCACCAACAGGATTTGCAACACCCCAACATCCCCAAACGCTGATGACAACAGGAGCAGCCGTGTGGGTGTAACCGGCGCTGGGTGATGCTACAGCTGCTTGAAACCAGCAGCTCCCAGTCAGGGCAGTTCAACAGGCGGCCACGAAAGGGTTACAGCGGTTGAGCTGCCGCCTGTACCCGGGAGGAAACATCCGGACAGGAACCATCCGGACAGGGCGGCTTCCGGAGGGGGGTGGGGACTTTGCTCCCATCCAGCTGCAAACATCTGGCGCAGGGCAGGGTAGTTGGGGGGGGAGGCGCAAGAACCGCCCCCCATCAGCCCCATCCAGCTGCAAACATCTGGCGCAGCTGCCACGTGGCTGCCAGGGGTTAAAGACCCCCCCACACTCCCTCCCAGCTCCATCCAGCTGCAAACATCTGGCAGAGGGTGGCTATTGGGGGGGGGTTAAAACAGGATGCCCCATTCCCAGGGTGCAGGGATCCCCTGAGCATGGGATGCAGGGAATGCCCCATTCCCAGCACGCAGTGACACTCTAATCCGGGGCTGTGGGGATGCCCCAGTCCCAGGGTGGGGAATGCCCCAGTCCTGGGAAACGGGAATGCCGCATTCCCGTGGTGTGGGGACACTCCAATCCCAGGGTATGGACATGCTCCATTCCCGTGGCACAGGCACATCCCAATCCTGGGGCATAGGAATGCTCCATTCCTGGGATGCAGAGACGCCCCATTCCCATGGCATGGGGGGGTGCCTCGATCCCAGGGCATGGAGACACCCCGATTCTGGGGTGCAGGGATGACCTAGTGCCAGGGTGTCCCATTCCCATGTCCAACTTGGGGATATCCATTCCCACGGTGTGGGAATGGCCCAGTCCTGTGGCACAAGGACACCCTGATCCCAGCGTGCAGGGATGTCCCCATTCCGGGACATGAGGATGCCCCATTCCCATAGTGCGGGGAGAAGTGATGGAGGAGATGGAGAAAGGATGAGGAAGGGATGGAGGGGATGAAGATGGGATGGGGAAGGGATGGAGATGGGATGAGGGAGATTGGGAAGGGATGGAGGAGATGGGATGAGGAATGGAGATGGGATGGAGAAAGGAGGGGGAAGAGATGGAGGGGATGGAGAAGGGGTTTAGGAGACGGGTGAGGGATGGAAAGAGGACAGGGAAGGGATGGAGGGGCAGGAAAACAGACGGATGATCCGGAGCGGGGCTGGGGAGCAGCTCCCTGGGGCTGCAGCCGCCGTCGCCCCCCC